TGGAAACCTTATATAGGGTCGCTATGAGTTGGAACAGACGCATCAGCACTTAACAATATATATAGTGAGAGAAGATTATTATCATCAGAGTTAGGTATGCTTGTATTTGTTTTCATCACCATGGGAATAAGCACATCTCAGCTACTAAACCTTTGGAAATCTTGACCTAGTTGAGTTGACACAGAACCTAACCATTACAGTCCACCCATGTCAACTCAAAACCTATAAACTTTATGCATACTCTCAAAGAAAACTGTAAAGTTGTACTTGTACCTAACATAAAACACAGACAGCTAAAAATGTACTGGCCCCATTTATATCTTATATATTACACATGAACAAAGCAAAACTATTTGATGCACACATACAAAACAAAACAAAAAATATATATTCATTTAAATATCCAAAGGGCACATTTTGCAAGCCAGCCTCCTGTCCGTATGCACAGTCTTACTTAGTCCATGGCTCTAGAGTTCATAGCTGCTCTTTCCATGACAACACCTCTGCCACTGTCTCTGTTGTGGCTGATTTTCCAGGCAGGGATCCTGAGCTCCACTGATGCTCCTTAATAATGGTACTGGGATCGTCTGTTCCTGAAATGAAAGATAACTACTGCCCCCTTTTAGATATACAGCTTCTACAATTATAGTTTTGGCAATCTCAGCCTACTAACAGTTACTCACAATTGAAATCATAAAATCCTATCAGCATCATTCCCCACTCCCTTTCACAAAACCCAGTTGGAAAAGAGGAAAACTAGTCAATGAGGATTCTACTGTATCTTATTCTAAAACTAAGCACACCCATCAAAGCTTGTAAGTCACTTCATCCTTTGTAGCACCCCCCCTCCCAAGTTTTTATTTTGTTCAGTGCTATCGAGTTGATTCCAACTAATAGCGACCCTGTATAGGGTTTCTGAGGAGTAGCTGGTAAGCTTGAACTGCCAACTTTACAGTTCAAAGCGATCTTGCATTCCAATTCATTAATCCTAATTGCCAAACCAGGTCTCCCCATTTTTGATAGCCAGTGTCGAAATTGCCTGTCTCTATCAATCCAGTAAGGAGCTCTGGTAGCATAGCGGTTACCAATTTTGCTGTGAACTTCAAGGTCAGCAGTTTGAAACTACCAGCTGTTCCACGGGAGAAAGATGAGGCTTTCTGCTCCCGTAAAGATTTACAGCCTCAGAAACCCTGTACAGGGT